TTCCTTAATAAAAGCGAGTACAAAATCGATTCTCTCACATGTGTAATGCACCGAGGGTGAAAAGCAGTATTTGCATGTAATGCGAAAGCTATTTCTTTAATATTTGTTGTTTTTGAATATATCTTTGCAGAAGAATATGATATCTGCGTTGAATAACGCTGCATTCATGTATTGACTCCATAATAGGAAGAAAAAGTAAACGCTTTTCATTCGGCGTTTATGTGTTATTCGCTGGCGGCTGCCATAGTTCCTGTAGGCAATGCAATTGTTGGTATTTTTTTTTTTTTGCTTAACTCTTTCTTTTGTTGTCTAATTTAGGCTATTCATGTACTATAATATTATAATATTAGCTGAACCTCTCACAAAAAAGCACTTTGAAGACAGGTACAGTGAAACACGGCACTACTTTTATGAGTTGATTGAGTACATGTATCCATGTACCATGCTGTGCTTTGTTGTGTGTTGTGGTATATATGAGCACATTAGGACAGATTCCTATCAACCGCGTCGCTGAACTGGTAACAGTAAACTTGAATTTGAAGTTAATTTTGCTCTTCTCGTTGTATATTGTTCAGCATTTTCGAGTTCACGTTGAACCCACCATATCAGAGCCGCTGCCTGTGAGCGACGAGAGGTATCGTTGCCATGGAAACGCGTCCCCGTGCGGCAAACTGACCTTTAATGGAGGCTCCAGGAAACACGAAAACGCACAGCATGAGTATAAAAATACATATAAACCGTGGAAATGACCTGGTAAGTCAATTTGCCGTTACTTAGAAATGATCCCCATAAACCTGTGAAATTTGCTAACACTGCGGCATAACAGTCTAACGGAAGTCTAAGTACGTGGTGTGTATGAAGTTTTTTTTACCTTAAAATTCACGAAGCAGCAAATTACCTTGATAACCCAACATTACCGTCCAGCAGTTCCGAAAGAAACTTTGACGTGTTCACTTCTAAGCTGTTATTGTTTTACAGTAAAAGATTATAGCTCACCTTAAGAGAGCTGTAATATTCCTTTATTCATAGAACCTGGAGTGCAGTATAGGAATATAGCATGCTATATATGTAGCTATAATTTTGTTGCAGTAGATTTCATTATCCTTATGTTCATGCGATTCAGTACAGTACATATATATGTAGGGATGAAATATATAAAGAATGTAATTTATAGAGAAGAGGAAGTGATCTATAATGGACAACAGTAGAAACCCTCTCCACATTCTGATGGCTGGCAGGTACCCTCTGTCCTCTCACCCCCCACCCATTTATTAGTTATCAGTCCATTAAAACAGTGAGCAAGTAATCTAGTACTTGGAATGTTGGTAGTTCAATTCTTGGATGTTCCACTCTGCATGCCAAAGTGTTCTTGGGAAAGGCATTGAAGCCAAAGTCCATCATCCATCAGTGTGTGCGTGTTAGTTTAAGGAAAAAGTATTTGCTTGTATGAATGAGGCACGTGGCAAGTAGAGTAGAAATGTGCTATATAAGAACCAGTCCATTTGCAATCTTTTATTGTATTGTATATCCCTCTTTTGAACTTTATTTATTTATGACTGGAGGAATGTTTGCTTTTTAAATGGAGCTGCTGGATACCTATATCTGGATATCTGTTTAATTGTTTTAAGACTTCTCAATAAGCTTTTTAGAGCTTCCCAATGAATTTATTATCTTTAATTGGTTCAGTTTTTTATCACTATATGAAATTAGAATTGTGTTTGTTAAAAAAAATAAAATTGCAAATGTTTTAGGTGGCTATTCTTTTTCTTTCTCCTTGTATTGTTACATAACTTTTACCACCACTTACCACCAAATATATAAAATAAAATAATTCACATTGACTTATCCAAAGAGAGACATAAAAGCAAACAACTTCCCCACAGAGTTATAGATCTTAGAAGGCTTTGGTAGCATGCGGTACTAATAGCTTACATGGAGACTGGTGAAATATACTTTGGATGTTATGCTAACTACATTTTACTTCTTCAACAAGTATCTAAGTGAATTTAATGTAATTAAAGCTTTATTTTAAAATGTGATATAATCTTAAGTAAATGTTTACCACTTGCTATGTATTTCTTTTCTTTTCTTTTTAGCAATCAAAAAAAGGAGACAGCTTTCAGAGTTTGGTGCGGGTTGAGTTTGATGGAACATTGCTGGGAGAGTCAGATGAGAAGCAGAGTAACCCCATGCAGGACTGTATTGACTATAAATTTACCTGCATCTTCCGCTGTCCAAACGACGCTCAGGCTTTCAGTGACATTGCCCAAAAACCCATTGTATGTAAGTCGAGATTTGAAATATTCTCCTGTCTCTGATAATATGATGAAACTGAAAATGGCGCTAACCAGCAGCTGAAACATTTAATTTAATTCTATTTTCTTTCAGTTTGATCAACACATTTTTGTTGTGAATTACCTTGTGTAATTGGTGACAGGAATCTCCTTGATAACCAAACTTGCTAAAAATGTCCACTGTTGTATTTAATGTATATGGTTTTGTGGTGGTCAGTGACAGTGATAGAAGTTCTGGCTGAGGAGAAGAATGATGAACCAAGACAAGTGCCTCTGGGCCAGGCTGTTGTTGACCTCCTACCACTGTTACAAGGTACAGCTATAGCTATCTGGTCTTTCCATACCAGATCAGTCAGATCTGACAAAAGTTCCCACCTGGCTTCTTTATAATCAGATGACTTTTTTTTCTGATAAATGTATCTTATTTATTGCTCATGCAAAAATTTAAATTCATACTATGAAAAGTTTCTGAATTAAAGGCCCTGGAAGGTGGGTTGAAATTTGGTACATTTTTGAGCCCCTAACGTCATAACTGTCGGAGCTAGCCATATGAAACCTTCAAAGCTGCAAAAACAAATTTAAGCTCTATTATAAACTGAAAACAAGTAATTTTATTTTCCCTCACTTAGAGTATAACACTCCAAATGCAAAATCTAGTTTTAATTTGGCAGTTTTTTTTCTCTAACCAACCTTTAGCATCAGTGTACCTACAGTATCTACATTTACTTAATTTCTGATACCGGGCTCATGTTCTAGCACTGATCCCTTTTCAAAATTGGTTTCTAATATAGTCAGCATATCGTCCCAGCTAACAGCTGCTTTGTATGGAGGTCAGAAAAGCAAAAACTCATTTCAGAGAGCTTTTCTTAGCAGAGCAGAACTTTCATTTGTTAAAGTGATTTTCTCTTTGTCTTCAGGTCAGTGCAGTTTCTCATCGACAGTCTCTGTCAATTCGGTGGCCAACCCCCGGGCCAAATCCGCCCAGGACACCGGCCTCAAGGTCAGTTGAGGACTCTGCAGTCATTCTCTTGGAGAGTGAATGACTACACTCTCTGCTATTTTTACATAGCAAAGTAACCCAAATAAATTACAAGTGTTTTCGTGTATTTTTAATATTGACAAAAGATTGAACATCTTTAAATGCACTTAAAAACAGCACTGATCAGACATGCTTGCATATAGTTCTGACTGAAAAAGTGAATTAACAATTAAACAATTATTTCTTATTATATTGTATTAAGTCTAGATTACCAACACAGACTCTACAATTATTTAGCATCTATTGCCTTTTTTCGATGGTTACAGCTAAAGTACAATTTTAAACCAAAACAAATGCTACAATTTGAGACTATTTATTGTCTGGTCAAAAAGAAGGCTCCCAGGCTCAAGTGGTATCTGGTAAAAAAAAAAAAAAAAAAGTTTAGTATTTTTAACCCACTGACAGGTTGGGTTGAGTACATAAAAAGAGATTCCAAATATTAGTTTTGCAGACATTTTAAAATAATGCATTCAACACATTTGGCAAAGCCTAAGAAGCACACAGTGTGTTTTGTTAAATTAATACTAATTCCAGACATGTAGACACTTTAGTTATATATGAAATGTGTAAAATAACAACTAGAAACAATAGAAAGATAGTGGACAGTTGAAAAATAGAATTCACAATTTAACTTTTTTTGTACATTGTTTTAAGAGTGTATCCATAATGCCCACAGTTCCCCAACAAAGATAGGAGTGCAACCAGAATGAAGCAAGGATCCAGCCTTAAATGGAAAATGAAGGTAATCCCATTACTCTACAGGGACAGTTATAGTAAGCATAAATAAAATATCCCTAACATGCAGCCTCAGATGAGCCTTCAGGGGTTCAGGTCTATCTAAAAGTCCCTGTGCCCCCTTAGTTGAATTCTACAGATTTATGAGTAGAAGTCCAAATTAGTCATAGAGTTTGGTAAAGAAAAAGTAAAATACCAACATCACAGGTAAGTTGCTGCTCAAAATCAGTTTAATAATTCAGCTAACAGTAGCTTCATCCATACAGCAACGAGCATGACATCGGAGGGTATTAACTCTGGTGCCCATGCAAGTTGGACTTTGAGAAATACCCCTCACTTTAAATGTGGTATTGCGGTGTTATAAATTAACCAACAGCTTTTCTAATTAACACATTCATGGTGAGAAAGCCAAAGACCGGCACTTCATTTCATTTATCATGTGAAATGCTATGCTAGCAAGGTTCAACTCCTAATACTAAACAACCTTGTTGTTAGATTACAAATAAAATGTGGTATGCATCAAATAAAATACAGATAGAAATACAACAGATAAAAAGTGCAACAGGCCAGAAAAAAACAAACTAAGCTGTGTAATTATTGCGAATTACAGACCTATTTCCAAACTGCCTTTTATCTCAAATATTCTTGAAAAGGTAGTTTACAAGCAATTAATGTCCTTCCTAGAAGAACACGGTATTTTAGAAGTTTTCCAATCTGGTTTTAAAGCTTTACATAG